GTGGAGAGGGGGACAGGAGGCGTGGTGTGCTTTGCACATGTGGGTTTTGGAGGTGATGGGAGGTGGAGGCCATTGTGGTGGCCAGAGGACAAGGCTCGCTAGGTGCTTCTGAGGTCCATGGACAGCCCGGGGGACAGTGCTTAGCTCAAAATGCAAGTGTGAATAACAGTAGAGGCCAGGAGAGTCACCCAGCAGCTAAGGCCGGGGATAGAGAAGCCGAGATCCGGAAGGGGAGTGAATCATGCAGCGCCTGGGTGGAGAGGCTTCCCTGGAGCAGCAAGTGCAAAGGGCCCGGGGCAAGAACAGCTGGCTCAGCTTCTCTCAGGGCTGCTCGACACCTTCTCCTGGAAGCCCTTAGATTTTCTTCCAGGCAGATGAGGTCTCCCCTCCTGGCTCTGAGCCTTCACTTCCCGACCTGCCCACTGGCCCGACCCTGGCCATTCTCAGCTGGCAGGGCAGGAGCCATTACTGCCCCAGCAGGACCTTGCGAGGCTGTGAGATCGGAGCCTCTCCCTCAGGGGGCAAGGAGGTGCCATCCCTTCTTCTGCTCCTTCTGGGTCTTTCCACTCCTGTGCGCTGAGAGGCCTTCCGAGATTGCCTCAGCCCTTCTGGCTTGGCCCCGGCCTGTTCCCGTCCCACCCAGTCCTCAGGCTGGACGTGTGGCCCCAGAGTGGGCAGGGCGGCCGACTCCTTTGCCCCTCCCCTCAGGGACCCAAGTGCACAGCCCGGGGGCGAGCTGATGCTGGGGGGCACTGACTCCAAGTACTACAAAGGCCCGCTGACCTACCACAATGTCACCCGCATGGCCTACTGGCAGGTCCACATGGAGCAGTGAGTACTCGGCAGAGACCCCTCACTGGTCCTGCAGGGGGGTGGCCTGTGGGGGCCCCTCCCCCAGCCTCCCCCTCCTCAGGGCCTTGGGGGAGGAGGGGGACTGGGCAGGAGGGACCCTGGCCCCTGAGTCCCACTGGCCCTGGGTGCCTCTTGCTGAGCTCTTGGCCCCTGGGCTCCGGCCAGTGCCCTCTCCTCACGACTACTTGGGTGGCTGTTACCCTGTTCTTGCCTCTCGAGCCCCTTCCCCTTCCATCCCACCCAGCTCTGCGCACGGCCAAGTCCTGCTGCAGTGGGAGCAGGATGGGGGCTCCAGGTGGCCCTGGGAGGTGGCTCACCCCACGCCCAGGCTGGGGGACTCACACCCCTTCCCTGCAGGGTGGACGTGGGCACCAGCCTGACCCTGTGTAAGGGGGGCTGTGAGGCCATTGTGGACACGGGCACTTCCCTCATCGTGGGCCCCGTGGAAGAGGTGCGCGAGCTGCAGAAGGCCATCGGGGCCGTGCCGCTGATCCAGGGCGAGGTGAGCGGGCCGGCGGGGCGGGTGGGGTGGGCGGGTGCCCCAGGCCGCTGTGCCCCGCATCCACGCTGTTCTCTTCCTCCTTCAGTACATGATCCCCTGCGAGAAGGTGTCCAGCCTGCCCGAGGTCACTCTGAAGCTGGGGGGGAGAGGCTACAAACTGTCCTCAGAGGACTACACACTCAAGGTGAGTGGGAGAGGGCGGGCAGGGCACCGGCCCGGACCTCCGAGGCCGGCGGCCTGGATGGTGACCGGCGTGGCCGTCCAGGTGTCGCAGGCTGGGAAGACCATCTGTCTGAGCGGCTTCATGGGCATGGACATCCCCCCACCCGGAGGGCCCCTCTGGATCCTGGGCGACGTCTTCATTGGCCGCTACTACGCCGTGTTCGACCGGGACCAGAACCGGGTGGGCCTGGCTGAGGCTGCCAGGCTCTAGCTGGGCCCCCCGCTGGCAGAGTGCGGAGGAGAGAATGCAGGGGGGGAGGCCACACCCCCGCCTCCCGGCCACCCCACCCACCACGCTCAGCTCACACTCACACTCACACACTGGAGGCCACCGGCCTGTCGGGCTCACTGTTCTGTTCTGTGATTTTCCCCTCCCTGGTTCAGAAACGCTGCCTACTTGTCTGTCTGTCTGTCTGACGGAAGGACGGGCCAGGGAAGAGACTGGGCAGCTCCGGGGCACAGACTCCTTTCTCTAGCTCGGAAGACCCCGTCCCCCGGGCAGTGGCCCGCTGTGTGTCAGAGGACGCCTGCCCCGCCGAGTTCTCTCCCCAGCCTGCACCTTGGGGTCCTGGCTGCCTGGACGGTGCCCTGGGCTGAGCCCCGCCCTGAGCCGGGCTGTGCACTTAGCTCCTCCTCCGTCCAGCTTGGGGCCTGGCACTTGGCGTCACCGCCCCCGCCTGTCCATTTGTCCTGGACCTGGTGAGGAAGGGGCTGGCTGAGGCCCGCAGACGAGCTGGCAGGGGTGGCAGGGGACAAAAGCCAGTCTTGTGAGGCCTGTGGTGAGGCCACTGGGGCCATCCTGGAGGCATTCAGGGCCTCACTGGCCAAGGTGTGGGACAGGAGGGAAGGGGCTGAGGGTTGGGAAAGCCTTCCCTGCGGCTGCCCCCTCTTGAGTGGCCGGGAGCCAGAGTTGGCATGGAAAAAATAAAATTGTTTGGCCTCCCTCCCCCCCGTGTGTGGGCTTGTCTTGTGCTCCTTGGGGAGGGTGGTTCTGAATCAGGAGGTGGGGACAGAGTTGTCGCGACTGGTGCCCTGCTGCCGGTTCAGAGGACTGGCCCAGCCAGCCTAGGGGGCGCGCCTGGGAGAGCCCCGGTCAGGCTCACTGGCCAGGCCCCCTGCTCCGCGCACAGGCCCCCAGGGCTTTGACTCTGCCCGGCCCTGTGGCCACTGGCGGGGTCTGGCCCCTTCGGGGGCCTGGACCCCGGCCATCAGGACGTGACCGTGGCTGGAGGCTGCAGGGTGGGGCCTGGCACAGGGCTTCTTGAGTGAGTGTCTGCACTGAGGCACGATTTTCAGGCCCAGGCGACTGCCTTCCATGCTTTCTTGGAGAATGTTCCACGAGCAGTGGGGTCTGCAGTGTTCCCTGATCCCCCCGGGGCTCCATCCAGCTGGTGGGGCACACCTGAGCGGGGCCTAGGAAAGGGCTGACAGCCCCGGGGCGGCTTGCCCCCGGTCTGGGCCTCCCTGTCGGCCCCTGGAGGCAGTGTCTCCACGGCTCGGCAAGCTGTGTCAGTGCTAGAGCAGGCCTGCCTGGGGTTCAGGGCTCGAAGGGCCCAGGGATCTGAGTTAGGAATCCTCTCAGGCTAGTCACCTCCCGGCTGGTCTGACTTGTTTGGCTTCAGGGGAAGTGGTGGGGTGGGGGAGGTCAGAAGCTGCACAGCCAGGAGGGTTTGAGGGGTGAGTAGGAGTTTGCGAACCCTTGATGGGACAGGAGTAAAATTTTCAGGGATGGGTAGCTCTGGAGTCCTGCTTGAAGCCCGCCCCCTGCAGGTGTAGGGCTGTGGCCAGGGCCACGTTTGCTCATCATCCTGGTGCCTTCTCACCCTGCAGGGTTAAGGCTGTCATCAGCCTGGCCTCGGGGGTCCAGAGGACTGCACCCCAGAGCTGAGCCCTAGCGGACACTTTCTCTGAAAGACATTTACCCAGAATTGCAAGGAGGATCAAGAGCACATGTCCAGTGTTCTCTGCACCTGAAATTCGAGCTGGGAGCAGGCAAAGCTCTGCAGGGCTGCAGAATTTCTGGGGAGACTGTCATCAAGGCTGGCACTGAGGGGCCTGTGGGACAGAGCCGCCAGGAAGGAGGCAGCCCTTCCCTCTCCCGGCCTGCCCGCTGACTGTCCTGGGCTCTGCCTCCGCTCTCTGTTCCTCTCAGTCTCCCACCGCCCACGGCCAGCCAGGGCTCACCAGCTCACAGGCCCCCTGCTCCGCTTGGCCCGCACACCGTGACCCTCAGTGGAGGCTCAGTAGGGGCTCCTGTGGGACACGTGGTCCCCTCTTCTGGAACACGGGGACAAGCGCAGTGGGACGCCCCCAGACCCCTGGATGCCATGCTGGTCAGCGTAGCCGGCAGGGCCCTGGTGCTCCCACCCTCTGTTGGGCCAGTGCCACCCTGGGCTGCCCCGCAGGGGGCTCTATCCAGCTGGTGGGGATCCTCCAGGCCCTGGAGTCAGACTCTGGGCTCAGGTGCAGCTCCTGTGACCCAACCTGAGCCTGAAGCCCCTGTCTTTGGAAGGTGGGTGACAACAGGGCACTCCCCACTGCGGGCCTGACAAGATGAGGAGCCCCGCACAGCGCCTGGCATCCAGCCGATCCAGCGCTGACTGTCCTCCAGCCAGCTCGGGGTGCTCTGCACCAGCCCTGCGCCCGAGTGAGGACACCTGGTCTCGGGCTGAGCTCTGAGCAGCCGGCCTGAGTCCCCGCTCCTCCCCAGCTTAGGGTGGAGACCAGAGGTGGCTAATACGCCTCCTAACCGTGGGCTCCCGGGGCCCTAGAGAGAGGCAGCTCGACCCCACCCAGCAGCCGGGAGCAGGTCCCTGTGGGCCCAGGGCCCCTCCTGCAGCCTGGGGACCCGCTGGGCTTGGCACAGACCAGCCCTCTGGTCCCCTGCAGCCTGTCGGCACAGTGCAGCCCCCAACAGAGCCCATGGCCTGGGGGCAGCCTGGGAGCCTGGCCAGACTCCCCAGCTGGGGAGACCAGCTCAGACTCCAAGGAGCCCAGGTGTCCTCTGAGAGGGCTGCTTAGGCCAGGCTCAGCCCAAGGATGGGGTCCAGGTGCCCCCAGGCCAGGTTCCTGGGGAGGGGGCAGAGGGGGGTTGGGTGAGGGAGAACTGCACCCCGCTTCCCCACAGTCCCCGCCCACACCGGGCGCCACACCTGTGAGCCTGGTCCCCGGGTCCGGGCCCCACCGAGGTCGTGGTCAAGG